GCAGGAAAGATTAAACTTAATTAGTTGTGAATCTTGTTCTGATCATCATTTCACCTGAAGTGAATGCATCACCTGTGCTATGATCTCCACACACGATGGCTTTCTTTCGTACATGTATTAGTGTTAATGCAGAATAATTTGGTTTTAGTTCTGTCGGAGTGTTTTATAAATGCTTCTCACTGTACGTGGGGTTTTATCTACGATGTCAGTGAGCATGTGCATGAACAATCAGCATTGTACTGCTGTATCTTCCTGTTTTGGTGGGTATTTTTAAGTCTGTGCCAATGATAGAAGATCATTTTATTGTGAGGTGTCGGTCTTTTTTCCCCTTTTCCCTCATGTTGTCTCTTTCTTATATGCATTTTATGTGTTCCCTGTACATAGCTCGGCCTATAAGATGGCACTGTCTTTCTGCCTCTCTCAGGCTGCCTCTTCGAACCTGTAATTCAGTAGCCAGCTTCAGTCTGTGCTGGTGACATGAACAGTGAAAAGCAGTCCTGTTATTTTTTCCTCCTCCCATGATGTTTCTGAGTTGGAGATTCCTGTTTCACCCTACTAGTAGAAAGGAATCATGCCATTAATCTTACGTTGGCAGAACCAACAGTCAGAAAATTCTTGTAAAGCCAGAGCAGACATGAATGAGAAATAAGCATCTTTCCCTTTTCAACAAAAAAATGATTTGTGAAGTTAAAAAAAAAAAAAAAAAGAACTTACTTTTTAAGTTTTCTAAAAATAAGCCCTGTCTGTCATACCTCAAATTAGGGTAGAAGCATATAACTGCTGTTTGTTAGTATCGTCAGTATTTTATCATAACTGAAAAGAGTAATGAGGTCCTTTAGGATGATAATTAGCTCCCTAGGTCATCGTGTCTAAAAAGTGTTGAAACAGCAGTCTGTGTGAAACTTCCTCTGGTAAAGACACTTATTAAATAAAGCTATTTGAAAACATGGTGGATACTGCATTGCTTTAACATCACCCCTTGGGACATCAAGTAAAATGTCCCTGCAGCAATGGAGTGCCTCCGTAACAATGTATAGACATCTGTGTACTGGCCAAAGTAAAACCCTGAAGTGGGACAACAGGACTCTAAAACATGACAAGAACCTAAATGATGTGGCTTCCTGCTTTTCATATTTTTTTTTATATTTTTTCATTGCCTATCATGCATAATTGTTGAAGGGAGATTCTTCTCTACACTTCAATACCCAGTTAGTTCTTCTGACTGCATCCTTTCCTGCTGTATTTATTCCTTATATGGTAACATATGGAGATGGTAGAAAAAAGAGAAGACAATGTAAGAGTAGTATTGATGTAGCCCCTATCTTCAGACTGAAG